TGTCAATAATAAGGCAAAACACGCGCCTGCTAATCTTTCAAATCTTATCTTATCCTTTAAACGAGCAATTCTTGTATATATATATAATCAGAATCTCGGAAAGACTCCAGCGATTTTCATGAAATTTAGTATGTGCGTAGCTTCGGGGGCGAAAAATCGATTTAGCTAGGTTTCATTTTTAGAAAATGTCCTTTTATCCCTGTTTTCAGGGAATGAAAAATATCATTCGAATACGACGGTAAATTTCGCCGCAAAAAAAATGTTATAATAGCTCGGTCGGTAATCGGGCGGCCCCGAAACAGAAGGCCGTGGTTCATGTCACGATCATTTAAACATTAATTTTTTTACTTTTTTTTCGATTCCAGATCATTGCTTTCTTTATTTTTATTTTTTTGTCGATATGTTATTTTGTTATTTTTTTCCTTTTTTTATAAAGTTCTTTCTTTTGTGAAAAACATCAGTTCATATTTTCTTATTATTACGTCGGTAAGATCGAAAAATATTATGCATACTTCATTACTCAGTAATTTGTATCTAAATGTAATTTCCAAAACACACGATTTCCCAAAAAAAAACCGAGCAAACGGGTACTAATACTTAAAAAGGGGCATTTGTCATTGTTTCTCCGACCTATATACATATTAAACTCGATGTTTACAAATCCAAATATGATAATTTGTAAACAATATGCACGCGACATACATACCGTGGACAGCGAACGCACCGACAAGTCCATTCTTGACCAACTAAACATTAAGACTAGGCTCTCCACAATTTGCTATAAACTAATTGTAATTTATTTTGGTCACATCGCTCGTAGGCTGCCAGATAATTTTGAAAAACTAGTTGTAGTTGGGAAAGTGGACGGCAAAAGACCACCTGTTGGTCTGATCAAGTGAAATTTATAACCGTTTCCACTGCCTTGAAGAAGAGAGAAGACACAGTGATGTAGAAGCAGCTCGTCGTCGATTCTCTCAAAAATTTTCAGGACGGGCACGACCTTCAATAATGAAGAAGAAGAAGGAGAAACAATATGGACAATAAGGAAAACAGTACATCTTGTGTACACAACCATATAGTTAGATATAATTATCATAGATTTTTTTGAAAATAACCATAATAGCATAACCTTTTTTGAGTTGAATAAAAACCGGATATAGAGCATACTTTTGCAATTAACCACAACGTATCCTCAAAGGATACCGTCGAGGGTGAAACAGATTTTAGTTTATTTGAACGCCATTTGTCAGCACAGATTCACAGGTGTATTTTTTTAATAATAACTTTATGACGGTCAATTACTTGCGCCAAGAAAAACAATCTAAACAAAATGTCGTTAAAACTTAAAACCCTGTATGAATGCTAATTTGCAATTGCTGATTCCAGGCCGATTGGCCTCACCATCATTGACTTAACACCAGTTAAGCCGCCAGCTGGTTTGTTACCTTCTCATATAAAAAATCAAGCTACCCTTGGATAGCTTCTCGATACGAACAGGTTGTACTAACAGCTGTACTTCTACAACTTCAAGGGCGGGTATTAGAGCATAATTCACCATAAAACTTCACCCCGGATTGGCAGACCACATATCTTGGAAATATTTTTTTTGTTATTTATTCTAAAATATGCAGCTCTCTTCATGATATTCTCCTTCACCGCAGAGCCTTGATAGCTCAGTGTCCAAGAGGTCATCGCGTTTAACTCAATATACTCGAGCACCGTAAGTATAAATCACGGTGCCAATACCAATGCGAGTTTCCTGACCTTATGAAACATAGTAAGAAAATTCCGGTTTTCAAATCTGTACTTCTGACCCCAGCAATTTTATACCTATTTCAGTACTACCAACTCTTAGTAAAATTTTTGAAAAAGTTATTTTGAATCAAATGTTACTCCATATTAGTACACATAAATTGTTGCTAACAAGGAATATGGATTTGCTAGATGTCGCTCAACAACAGGTGCGGGTATCCAGCTTGTTAAGAATATTTTTGAAGCCTGGGAAGAGTCACAGGATGCCTTAGGTATATTCTGTGACTTATCCAAAGCATTTGATTGTGTACAGCATGACACTCTGGTCAGGAAACTACACCAATATGGTATAAGAGATGCCGCACTCAATCTTCTGACATCATACTTGAGCTATCGTGTTCAGAGAGTTGACGTGAATGGCAAGAGATCTCCCGGGGCTCTTGTAAGTATGGGGGTTCCACAGGGATCTATTCTGGGGCCTTTTCTCTTCCTCATCATGAGATAGTATTGTTTGCTGATGATACTTCTTTAATTTTTAAAGTTAAACGACATTCTTTAAATTATGACGATGTTAACAATACTTTCTCCACTGTAGTGCATTGGTTTAGTGCTAGCAACTTAATGATGAATAGTAAAAAAAAGAAATGTATTATATTTACAACTCCCAACGTAAAAAGTGTAAAAACTGGTGTACTTTTACATGAGGAAGCGTTAGACCTAATTGACTCGACTGTATTTCTTGGCATAACTGTAGATGCCAAATTGCAGTGGGGCCCCCATATTAATAAACTGTCGCGTAGACTTAGCTCAGCAGTCTTCACAGTCAAAAAAATTAGACATTAAATGTCCTTATGGCTTTCTACTTTGGGGAAATGCAGCCGACATAAATACTATCTTCATCCTGCAAAAGAGAACTATTCGAGCGATTTATAACCTGGGCCCCAAAGATTCACTAAGAAAACTAAAACTTGTTTAAAGAAATAAAAATATTGACTGTAGCTTCTCAGTACATACTTGCTAATGTTATGTATGTCCACAAAAATAATAATGACTTTTCAAGATTTAGTAATGTGCATGATGTAAATACTAGGAAAAAGCATAAATTAGTTCTACCCTCAATTAGATTGCGTAGAATAAGTAAATCTTTTATGGGACAATGTATACGCTTTTACAACTAAATCCCAGAAAACGTTCAAAACGAATCCGTTGGTAAATTCAAAAAACTTGTAAAGGATCGTTTGTGTGTTAATGGCTATTATAGTATTAGTGATTATTTAAATGATAACACACTGGAAATGAATTGATCGCTCCAGGCTCTTTCAAGTGGAATTTAATAAATTGTACACATATTTGTATTTTTTTTGGCAAGTAAAAAAAAATGTCCCGCTGAGTTTCTTACGCCGGTTCTTCTCAGGTCAGTGGCTTTCCTTCCGAACCGGTGGTAGAGTTTTTTGACTATCAATAAGTAAGTGAATGCTTCTATATTGAATAAAGATATTTGACTTTGACTTTGAAATGAAATAATATAACTAAGTACAGTTGTCAAAACGAATTTCTTAACGCAATAATGAGAAATTATCAAATTATATAAAATTTAAAATTTCCGCCAACTAATACAGTTATGTCCTTGTAAACAGTTACGTTCATGGATTTTACATGAAAATTCATTAAGGCGATTTAAAAAATTCACCAATTTTGACAAATACAATATAATCTCGTGAAATCAGCTTGGAAGGAATTCGATTACCAATCTCTGTAAATATTTATGTTCCGGGAACCCCAATCTGTATGAAGGCCAGTTAGGTAATTGAAATGATGTTAACGCCGTTGTAAGCATTTTCGAATATTGTTGTAATATTGAGTTTAATTATTAGCTGAAGTCGTACTGATGAAATCCTTTTTTTAGTTTTCTCTTTTTTTTATGTGAAAAGTTGCCAAACGAGACGGCTCACCTGATGGTAAGTGAATAGCGGCGGTATTACATATGGCTCCGGCTACCTCACTCACCAGCCGAAACGCTCAAAAACTTATTTACTTAAATAAAAATATAAGTATAAATATTAAGGACATATTTTTTATACAACGTTCTCATATCCCAAACTTAGCAACGCTTGTACTATGGGTACTAAATAACTGAAATAAATATACTTATACATACTTTTCTTTTTGTAAAACTTACAGTTTTTGTTAAACATAAAACATTCATTATAATCACGATTTAATCGGATACAACATGGCTATCCTAACATTTACCTCAAATGCGGCTATAAACCCGGATTCCCAAAGGCAATTGTATTGATATTCAGCCGCTGAAACTTACATTTCAATTGCCTTTAATATAATTCAGAATTTAGATTGATACGTACTTCACATATTACATTATTCATTTTCTCATTACAGGCAGATATCTAATTTATGGTATAAATTAATATATACCTACCAATCCACTTTTGAATATAAACGACTTTTAGCAATATCTAACCATAATAATATAGAATTTTAATGTATACTATAGATACCCAGATAGAATAGCATTTTTATTAAATGTACTGTAATTTTAAAAAGGTTTACTATATTTTGGATAATTTAAGTATCTCTGCTATCTGGTCAATATCATCGTGAAAGTATTTTTCAAAACGGCCTTCAAATGGGTCAGTCCAAATTATGCGCATATATGTTATATCTCAAAACAAACTATACACTAAGCATGTTCAAGATTGTGATGTAAACGTGTCTTATCATAATATAAAGATCAACGTTAGAGGAAAGTCACCAAATATGGAGTAGTATCCCAATATGGAATAAAGCAATTTCTCTAAGAATATAAGTATGAAACGAAACACATGACCATCTTCTGTTTCATTCGGTCTATTTACTACCTCACTCACACCATCGTGTCAGTTGCGCGAACGCTACAAGTGTGGCCGGTGTTTTTTGTTTTGTTGTCACGCAGAAAATTTTAAAGGTAAGTAATAATTGAGTATTACCAGTTATTACGTATGTATATATAGGTGTTTTACTATTTAGTATATCGATATTATGTTTATTTCAACGTTTTGTGATATTCTGTCATTAAAATATTGTGATTTGAAAAAATATTTAGATGATTTTAAACCAGTATAAAAATCCAAATATGGACAGTCGTCGGTGCCTAATTATGGAATATTCCATAATTAGGTCTTTATATTTCACATTTTAGGTACTTGCTACTATTTCTTTAAAAAAATTATGTTATGTTTGTTTTTAGAATGTCTGCTTCACAATCAACCAAGAAACGAAAAACCTGGGATGAAGAAAAAATGGCAGAAGCTATAAAATTCGTCCGGGGAAATAAAATGGGATATTTGAAAGCAGCACAGAATTTTGAAAGAAAAGCTGCTATAGCAACAGTCATAACATCTTCACCCTACAAAAATTATTTAGTAAATAAAAATATGAAGAGACAAGAAAAAGAAAGTAAGACAAAGAATAAGAAGAAAACTGCGAAGAGAAACAAACAAACGAAGAAAAATAGAAATGATCGTGAAGAAGAAGACTCTGAGGAACGGGACGTCATCCAGTTTGATGAAGACAGTGAACATGATCAGTTGATGGACCAAGTATCTCCTGACTCTGCTGATGCAGAATGTATGTTCTGTTCAAACCTTTTCTCCATGGATAAAAGTGGAGAAAGCTGAATTAAATGCTTGATGTGTGGACTCTGGGCACATTATGATTGTGCTGGTCCAGAGTTTGATACTTGGATCTGTGACTTTTGCAAGTGAATTTAGTAACTTCGTTCGTTTATAACAATATGTTATTTTAATTTATTTGATCTCATAGATATTTATGCCTATTTTTGTTATTGATATGATGATTTATGCTTATATTCCATATATGGGTACCTATTCCATATTTGGTTACTCATTTGTGATTTTGGTTTTGTGTTAGATTTTAATTTGGTAACTAATATATTTGATTAAAGGCTGTTAATTACTAAAGATAAATGTCTGACTGATTAGTAATTACATTAAACTGTTTTAGTTTCTATGAAGTTTTTTTTTTATATCCCTGAAACAAAATGGTATTCCATATTGGGTGACTTTCCTCTATAAGTTAAAATATTTAGTCAGCGTGTTTGAGGTGATAAATAATTCTAACATATAATCCTTAAAAACCGACCAAGTGCGAGTCCGGCTCGCGCAAAAAGAGTTCCGTACCATCTGTAAAAGCAGCAAAAAAATGTCTCGTATCTTTTATATGGGAGCCCCACTTAAATGTTTTTTTATTCCGTTTTTTAGTATTTGCTGTTATAGCGGCAACATAAATACATTATCTGTGAAAATTTCAAATATCTTACTAAGTACTACGGTTCATGAGATAAGGCCCGATAATAAAATAGATGTGAAGGTCTATTTTGGTCACATCTATTTTGCTTTTTAATGGGTTCATAATTAAGTTTCATCTTGAGACCAGATTTGCATAATTCAAGTAAAAGTAAAAAAATAATCATAAGTTTAAATTACCGAAACAATAAAATATGTAGAAAAATAAATAATCTTAAGTGCAAAGATTAGCACTATAAACAATTTAAATTACCGAAACAAGTTAAAATACACAGACAGTATCAGTTTGAATACCACAATTTATTGTGCTGTATAGAAAGACAAATGCAGATCACGTAACGTTCATATAGTTTTGTTTTTTAGTGTTCGGAACTCAAAGGGTAAAGGGTAAGACGGCAACCCTATTACTATGACGCTATCTGTCTGTCTGTCCTTCTGTCTTCAGGCTGGATCTCATAAACCGTGATAGTTAGACAGTTCAAATCACAGGTGATATATTTCTGTTGCCGCTATAACAAAAAATACTAAAAAACAGAATAAAATAATATTATGGGTATTATTTTAAATAATATTTCTCATACAAATGACATAATTTTTTGTCGTTTTTATACATAATGGTAAGGAACCCTTCGTGCGCGAGTCCGACTCGCACTTGTCGGTTTTTCTTTTTATAGCACGCAGTTCGCCGGATTTAAAGCAATCGCCATTTAAACAAATGCCTTGCTAGCATTTAATTTGGATTAATGAAATGAATAGAATTAGTGGAAAGAGATTGCGACATGTAAACATCAATAATCATTAATCCTAGTGGATTATCTGCTGGTACCCATGTTTGTAACAAAATTAATGGAACTTTAAAATAAATGCAATTTGATCTTAAGCTTAACACCACAGCTTCTTTCTTTTCTTTTTCTTAGAAAAAGCACAATATAAAATAGAAAGACCACCAACCCCAAAAAAGTAATAAAAGAGAAAAGGTGAACAAAGTCCCTGATCTCTCCCCTGATCTCTGTCCCTATATCAAGGGAACGGAAAAAAAAACACCACAGCCTCACAGACGAAAATTGTGAAATGGAAGTATTATATCATTATTTATCTTTCGTGTTACGTCTGGTGAGAGACATACTGGAAACCAACTTTTGTAACACTTGGTAATGCATTATACATCTGTATTGGAGATAATCAATACAATATTGACCATATATCGATCCCACGTATCTTTTTATTAAAAACTACAATACCACAGTATAGTTTTGTTGAATTCGAGGTGATTCATATTTATATATAATTTGTATACGTATATACTATTATGGGCCATTTAAGCAACTACTATTCATATCTTTTGAATCATTACCAGTCATTCTATTCTATATTTTTAAACCACCTAAAGATTTAATATTTTAATATGCTAAATTCTTATTAAACAATAGGATGTATTAAGCAAAAAATATTTGTACAAAAGATTCAATCACATATTTACGTTAAATAAAGAACGCTTCATTTCAAGCTTAAATGTAAAACAATCTTTTAAACTTAAAAATACTTTCAAACCATTATAAGATTAATAGCAAATGAGATTTTCAGGGAATAGACCATAACGTTTAATGATAGCAATAAAGTTCGATAACACTGTGTGACAATTTGCAAGCAGATCAACCTTCTCGGAGGAACTATGCAGTGAAATTTAGACTCGCAATATTAAACACGAATTCTTAGTTGATGTTTTAATTTTTATATTGCCTGTTTGTATATTTATTGATAATCGCATCTTTCAGTTTCTTTGATATTTACATCACTTAACAATTTTGTATTATAAAGGGTCTTTTTTGACATAATGGGGAATTAACACGTACTTTGGCGAACCTTTTCTTGGAATTTTTTTTAATTCGAAAACATTCAGGTTTTTCACTTAAATTACAATTAACAATTTTATTGTTGTTGGCACCGACACTTGAACGCGGGTTGCTCGAATATGTTTAATTAAAAGCGCGCGACCGGGAAATGAGCTTCGACGGCTAACAAGTAAATTATGATCTACTTCTGCTGAATAGATAAAGAGCAATAGATAAGGAGATATTTGCTGTAAAGGAAACACACTAAATGGCGCCATAGCAATAAAAAACAAATTAGATTAGTCTTCGATTTAAACTGCAGCTTTACACATTTCTAAGCTATAACGAAAAATCAAGTTTCAATTAATAAGGCCTATTTAAAAATATGAATTTTATGGATATTTTAGGTCAGCAATGGTCATCGCCGTTTTTTTCATTTCTTCGTATAAACAAATCTTAATTATAAATGTTATCAAGTTACGATTACATGAAATATCTTAGGGTTTAATAAAACTATTTCATGGATTTTACTGCGTTTTTTGTTCATTTTAATTCCCGTCGTTTATAGATCCATAGTCGTTTATAGATATAAAAGGCTCAAAACGGAATTTTAAAACAATTGAATTTGAAAAAAGCCATGAAATAGTATTCTTCTTGTATATTGTATTAACTGATATTAACGTTTTCAGTCCCGAGACTACTAAAGCTTCATCGAACGCAGAACCGGTGGGCTAGCTTTGAAGCCCTTCACAGAGGGTAGGGCCGCGTATGTACTCATGCGTGCATTAACTAAGGAGTATTGCCTACGGGCTATGCAGTGTCTGCCGTGACCCCGATGGCCGTTGACTGTGCTTGGTGAGTCGGTGGCTGTGGGCGGTGAGTACCGCCCTAGAACGCGGGTGTACCTGTCGCTAACTTTCCAACTAAAGAACGTGGCAATTGTCTTTTCCTTTCTTGAGCCGTGATAGCTCAGTGTCCAGGTGCTCGACTTTAGTTCAATATACTCGAGCAACCTGATTTCGATCCCCGGTGCCGGCACCGATGAAATCGCTAATTTTAAGTAGGTACTGCCTTATCACGTGCTCTGCAATGAAAGAAAACATCACGAGGAAACCTGCATATTTTCGAAATCTAACAAAAAAAAGTAAAGTCTGCCAATCCAGTTCAGCAGGGCCACGTAGTGGACTATGTCCTGAGGAGGCCTTTGCCCAGCAGTGGGACATGTATAGGTTGTTACCTCTATTTTACTTTTCTTACTTTCTTTAGTTTAGCGAAACATAAATTAATTGAGTTATCTCGACCTTGGAATTCAAAGTCGCGAAAGCACTCAGAAGAATGTTGACGTACGGCTTCGCCGTAGTCAACTCTAACCTCCCAGTGACCCGAACGCGTGCAAACAGCAAAGGCAAATCACATTATACAGCCAACACATCACATTTTAATCCTCTTGGAACGGAATATTAAGAACCTAGGAATCATTTTCAGAAACACATTCGTCAAGCACATTAAAGTATATGAGACAGAGCCGCGTTAGTCGTCTCTATAACTTAGCAAGGGATTCCAGCGAAATGCCTTTAAAGCACAAATATCTGTACAAAGCTGCAACGCTGCGCGACCATTTTTAGGAGGCAACCAAATGATTTATCTGAGAATTATCAAATGATGAGCTGAAAACCATTTCAAGCCACTGGTGGTAAACGCACCAAGTTACCAAGCTTTTACTGTCCCACTAAAAAACCCAATAAGATTGTGCTCGCATAATAACACAACGAAATAACCAATACAACGCGTATACAAGATAAACCAGCGTTCGGAGGCGGTTATCACCGCCCCTAGCCACCGATTAATACGGTTAATGACCATTCCAGTCACAGTCTGTACTGAACCTCAATGGCCCGTAGGTAACATTTCCTCACAATAGATAACGCAGGTATGAGGACATGCGCGGCCCTAACTAAATCGGAGAGCCACATCAACAAGCTCTTAGGATCTGCTATCCCACGAGTTCTGAGGTCGAACAAGCTTTAATAACCTACAAAGTGAGAGTAAAAATATCAGTTAATATAAAGTAAGTAAAGTTATATTTAAGCAAACAGAACATTATTTAATCTTGTTACTAAAATATTGAATATTTTTCTTTTAGGTAGACTGACAATCAAAACAAATGTGATAAACAATCGAGAATTTTTAATGGAATATGAAAAGAATATTAAAATAAAATAGATGAACAAAATAAATGTTGACACCAATGTCGCACGTTGTAATTTACCGCAATCGACCCGTTTCTGAGGACGTATGCCTAAAGTACTGCTCCGTGGGGAAATTAAGCCAACGCAAAATATGTTCTGCTTACAAAACATTAATACACGTTTACACCTATTATGATTTTTCTTATTTTTCGTCGAATTGCCTTTAAAGCATCTTATTTCTTATTTTTAAAATATTTTCTATAGCCTAAAATATTGTTTGTGTCATTACTTACGATGAATAAAAACATTTAAAGGTCAATCGTTCGTG